TGTGTTCTGTGTTCTGTCCAACTTTGTCTTGTGTGTCTTAATTGTGATACATATTGCAAATGTTGTTGTGTGTAGAATATTGTTGTTTTAATGAAAGGATATTTTAAGTAAAGCAGAAGCATGAATTTAAACAAAACAAAATTAATAATTGGGCCCAATCAATTGGCAACTCTAAATTTTAGTGAATGGATAATAGTATAGTAATTTTTTAAGCTAGGAGAATGTTAACAATATCTCCACAGGTGACCACAAGGAACTGGAAGGAAGCAAGCAGTGCACCACCTGAAAAGAAGGACTGGGCATGGGGTACCAGCCCCCTCCCCGCCAGATTGGCTTTGCTTTAACAGCCACATGAATGAAATATTTAGCTTTTGTAAAACTTGCACACCAACCGTAAAAGTGGTTTGGCCAGAGATAATAAGAAATCTGTAAGTGAAACAACACGGGCAAGTGGGACATCAACATATTTAAGTAAAGATTTCCATCACATTGATGCCCACAACAATGAGGAAACTAGTAACCTCACCATTGCAATAACAGCCATTTGCCCTGCTACCTATTGGTGCCAGATGCCTGACGCCTGAAAAGGCCTCACAAATACCTGGTAAGAATTATGGAATTGCATGGGTTCCCATTAACAATCAAACATCTGTGAACCATGCTGTGGTCCCGTAAGAGAAACAGGGACTCCAGTCAATGTAAACTGCCTTCAAGTCACATACAGAGAAATAAACAAACACCAAGCTGGTCCAAATGAATGGTACCTACCCAGACAGACCACTCCATTGAACTAAATGGAAGGCCCTCCCCCTCTACATATGCATCCGTGTGCATAACAGTCCCTCGCTGGGCAACCCTGACCATTCACAAGACTTGGCTCTACCGTACTTCGGCAATGACGGGTAACCTAACATGGGATCTTCGGTGGCATGGAGGAAGTAAGTACCTAGAGGAGGGTTTACTGGCCCTGCAGGCAGAGATTGAGGAGTTGGTGGCCAGTGCCCAAAGGCAATTTGGTATTGGCCGTCTGAGGTACACACTCACAGGGAAAACGATGGACCATGCCAAAACACCTTACTCTGAGGCACTCAACCAGGAAGTAGAGGTCAAATCTATAATCACGGGCAGTGCCTTTACTGGTGACAAAATACCTTGGGGATGGATTTGAGTAGTGTTTTGCCAACTTATATGGCAAGTTTCAATTATAACGTATAATAGTGCTGGTGCTGTAACAGTGCTTCCAAAGTAAATTAAAACCCCTGAAATTGTTGTATTTAACCTGGTGGGTTAAAGAACCCTAAGGTCGAGAGGAGGGAACTGTAGGGGCAAACTGAGACAGTCCATGATATCTTGCTGAGAAATTAGAACTCAAATCCTAAATTATTAGGCCAGGCCTGGGAAGCACACAGACAGTAGCTACCGTGACCGTGGTTCCCCTAGCAACCACATTCCAAGAGGGCCTCACTTTGATAAGGCTGGTACCAAACAACTCTGCAGGATTGTTTTTCACTGTCTTCTTTATTCCTAGAAAATAAGCCTGGGTCCCAAAGACTGTGCTAACCCAAGGCAATATCACTCCCGCAGTAAACACATTATATTTCCGTCTGAAAGAGTTACCACCAACCTGTCTCTGTTTATGTTGGCTCATTTTGCTTGTTAGGAATAATTACCTGTATTATTGATAAGATGTTTAATTGGTGATGGGCGGTGATCCTGTGTAACCTTGTAGTCCATTGGCTTATGTGCTCATATTTCCACCGCTAGACCTATCAAATCACTTCCCCTCTGCCGCCTATATAATCTAATGTTTGGTTTGGTTAAGTTAGTGCTCACCAGGTTAACCCCTTGTGCGTACTCCACCAGCTGTGTAAACCAATAAATCCTCTGCTTGTTTTCACCTGAATGTCTGGAATTATTCCCTACATCCCCAACACAGGACAAGCTGTGGGAGGAGAGAGAACTCCAAAGGCTGCTCTAAAGCAGCCCCCTTATATCCTCTGCCTCAGAGAAAGCAGCAGCGGCAGGAACGGTGGAGCTCAGGCCTCCTGAAGTGGAGAAAGGGGGGGCAATAGACCCCCCAAAGAGATGAGAGGGGGGCTCCCCTCACCTAGAAGAAGGGCAGGAAAGACCCCCCACACCTTCAATAGCTAGAAACGCAGGTGGAACAGGGGGCCTGGCCTAGAATGTAAGGGTAGCCAGGGCCTGCGGGACACAAAAAGGCATGCCCCTCCCAAAAAGGAGAGAGGAGGGGTGTAGGAGAATGTGCAGCACCTCTAGAGCAGGGGGCTACCACGGCCTCATGGAAGGTCTACAAAATCCTATAGATCCACAAAATCCACTAACTCTGGAACCCCAGGAAAGTAAATCTGGCCTATGGGAAGCCCTGAACCTCAGTCCTCCCTGTCTCTTCCGCTTACCCTATGAATGCTAGAAGAGTGAGGTATCTCAGTTGGGGGACATATCTTTGAGGGCTGGGGGTTTCGAGAGGAGTTTTTTGCTTCTCACTTGTGAGTTCTCCAACTGATTTTTCTGTGGGTTAGTGGCCTCCAATGCAAAAAGGGTTTCCCACCCTGCAATAAATAAAAACATTGATTTTTTTTGTATCTATTGGTGTGGCGTAGTGGGGGTGCTGTTTGCTCTGTGACCCGGGCTCCCCCTGAACTGTGATGTGAGATTCTCACTGACTCTCCCAAATGTGTATTAACCCAGACACCCAGGCTCAGCCTCCCAGGGAGGGAGACAAAGGAAGGAGGGCAGAGACCAACCCCTGTCTGGGAGGCAGGGTGGAAGAGAGTTTTAATCTCTGTCTGGAATTATGGAGGAGGCAGCCTAGGGAAGAGGCTGGAATTTAGTGGCCCAGTCTCCCCCAATCAAGGGGGGCTGAGGCGTCCTAGGCCTGCCCTGTACCCAGATTACATCTATGCCGTGCTGTATCCAGGACAAGCAATAAACTCCCTCTATTCTACTGGCTGGCAGAGTCTGTTCATGGCAGGAGTTGGGGAAACCTCAACACGCCGCCACAATTGGACATAAATATTTTACTTAATGTAAAATAAAGTTTGATCAACTAACATAAGAAAATTAAAAGGTTTAATCTCTTTAATAATTTAAATACAAATGTCCAGATGCAGCCCTAGCAAAATGGCTTGACTAATTATGTAATTATCAGTGAGTTTCCATTAGCAACAGTAGTCTACAGAAGGTTAGGAGAGGGCAGGGCTATGATGGGCCAGGCCAGGTCTGGGCACCACTAAGGGAATCCACTCAGGGCAAATTGCTCAAAATCAGGACTGGTTACAGCCCTTGACTGGAGACCTTTCCGAAATAGGCCACAAACCAGTCACACCGAGCACTTCAGCTACCAGTCCAGCCCGCAGGAAGCCTCATGAGCAAAACCCCTCAGATACCCCAGCTCTTCCAGTGCCACAATCAGCCCTGGGCTTACACACAAGTGAAGGGTTACAGAGCCCAATCTTTCCAACCCCGAACAGATCCACCCAGTTCCAAGGAACCAGCCATGACTCCCTGGTCAATTAGATTCTAAAAGTATAAAAGGTTTATTAATAAAAGAAAGAAAAGGTTGAGAGTAAGGTTGTTAAGGAGAATACATTATATACATCAGTCAGCAAGTTCTTGATGCAGGATCTTAGTGGAGATGTTACAAACTGCTAGCATAAAATTCTTTGGCATACATTCTATGTCAGGATAGGTCAGCAATCCTTCCCGTTGATCTTAGTGGAGATGTTACAAACTGCTAGCATAAAATTCTTTGGCATACATTCTATGTCAGGATAGGTCAGCAATCCTTCCCGTTTCTCTGTCCTTAGCAAGGCTGCATCTGGGATAAATAGCAAGACTATAGACAAAATGGAGTCCCCCTCATGGCATTTGATATTCATTTCTGGTATCTCCCAAGCTGGAACTATTCACATGGTCAAGTGACCTGACTCTTTCATATACCAGCAGCCATTGTGCCCTGGCTTCTTTGCAGCTTTCCACACGCATTCCTCAGGTGTGTATTGGCCAACCTGAGAGCCATTGTCCTTGGAGCCGTACTGATAAGAATAGTCACTCATTGGACGTTTCTTCCTCATGACAAGCAGTCCATACACAGTATCAGCAGAGCCCACATTCATAACTCCCCATACAAACTCCAAACAAGTACATGAATACCATACACAGACTCAGCACAATATTAGCTTTCATTTGACACCTCGCATGGCCCACTTTCTACCAAATTAGGGGCAAACTGTTCCCTGTGATCACAGCAGTGATCTGCATGCTCACCTTAAAATCCAATAATGTGACAGGGGCCTCAAGAAAGGGTTGGGGTCTTGAGGAAGGATCTAGGATACAGAAGCAGGCAGGTGTCTAGCCAGGGGAAAGGTGCAGAGTGTGGCCAGGAGAGAGGGTGCAAGAAAAAAGGAGGGTGTCAAAGCAAGCTGGGGGTGTTAGCTGCTGGGGGAAAGGGAATTGAGGAGATTGGGAGAGGGTGTCTGGGGATGACAGCAAATATTACCTGGCTTTGGGTCCCCTTGCAGCAACTTCTTCAGCCAAAGCGTCCTGGTCACCCCAGAGGAAGGTTGCAGCAGCCACACAGACCAGGACCGGCCATGGACACCGGAGGTACCACTGCTGCACCCATTCAGTCCAGGCCCAGAGGTGCTGCTGATGTTGCAGCCATACAGCCCAGGACAAGCCCCAGAGGCACCCCTGACATGGCCATGTGGCCCGGGAGGCCAGCAGTGCAGTGGCAGCAGTGCCTCTACTGCCAGCCTTAGGTTGTGTGGCAAAGACTCAGCCTAGCACTGCCTCCTCTCTAGCGGCTACACAGCACGAAGAGGGGGGGGGGCTAAGCTCCTTCCTTCTCAGCACATGCTCATTTGGAGGTGGGGCCTCACATTGCCTTGTGGACAGGATCAAAGCCTTAGGTAGGCTGGATTCTGCCAACAGAGAAAATTTTGCTCACCACCACTATAGGGTTTCTCACCTGTGTGGGTTCAACTATATGCAACAAAGCTTGAACTCTCGCTATAGCAGTTCCCAAAGTCAGAGCAGTTGAAGGATTTCTCTCTTGTGAGAGTTCTCTTATGGATAACAAGGTGTGACCTCTGACGGCAGCATTTCCTAAAGTCAGAACAACTGAAGGGTTTCTCCCATGTGGAGGTCTTTTTTATTTATTTATTTTTGTGGTTGCTTTCATCCTTGTAGCTTAAAGGCAAAATGCAAACACAACCAGCAGGCAAATGAAGAGCATGTGACACTATCAAAGCAGGAAACTAAACCTGGGAAGGGGCATGTGTGTTGAGGAAACCTTGCCCGGAGACATGTTAAGGCGTTCCAGCAGATAAAGGAACACTTTCTGAAGGGAGGGTAAAGGTCTCCTCATCCTTTTCATCAGCTGAAGGGTCTCTCTCCTGTGTGGTCTCTCTTATGGCTAACAAGCTGTGACCTCCAACTGAAGCTTTTCCCACACTCAAAGCAGCTGAAGGGTCTCTCTCCTGTGTGGGCTCTCCTATGGCTAACAAGATGTGACCTCCAACTGAAGCTTTTCCCACACTCAGAGCAGCTGAAGGGTCTCTCTCCTGTGTGGTCTCTCTTATGGCTAACAAGCTGTGACCTCCAACTGAAGCTTTTCCCACACTCAGAGCAGCTGAAGGGTTTCTCTCCTGTGTGGGCTCTTCCATGGCTAACAAGGTTTGACCTCCGACTGAAGCTTTTCCCACAGTCAGAGCAGCTGAAGGGTTTTTCTCCTGTGTGTGCTCTCTTATGGGTAACAAGGAGTGACCTTCGACTGAAGCTTTTCCCACAGTCAGAGCAGCTGAAGGGTTTCTTTCCTGTTTGAGCCCTTTCATGTTTAATAAGAGTTGCGCAGTCACTGGAAGCACAAGGATGTTGATGGGGGATTTTCTTTTGAACAGTTTTGTTGTTTGTTTTCAACCTTCTGCTCCTGTGTCTGGATTTATCCTGTTCTGCTCTTGGATGGTTTTCTTGATGCCTCTGCTGCCTTTGTAGGCTACGCTGATTCTCACAAGTCTCTACTTGCTCAGGACTCTGAGAAACATGGCCTTCACATCTTTCCACTAACACCCCACAAGAAGCCATTCGCTCAGGTCCTTCCTCCTGAAGACTCCTCTCATTGTTGTCATTCAGCATCCCATCACCTGCTGGGATAGAGAGAGAAACCACACAGGAGACATTCCCTGGGCTGAGCTAAAAGACAAATTCTGAATGGTGAACAGAAAATGGGGGACACACTCAAAGAAAAGCTGGAAAGATTCAATAATCATGAGCTGAGTTCACCCTGCTCCCCGTAAGTCTTTCCCCATCCAGCACTCTCAGACTGGAGTTGAAAACAGGCTGAAGAGCCAGTCAGACTTGATGAAAACACACAACCAACATCTGCTATGAGATCACAGAAATTGGTTTGAGTCAGTTTAGCTGATTTCTCACCTGTGCAGGTGTCACTAATGATCTCCCCTTCCTCACAGCCTTGGAGATCTGGGATCTGCAGCTCTTCCCTTTGCTCCACCCAGGAGAGCAGATGAGCGTTGGAGACTGGAGATCCTATTCCGGGAACAATTAACCAAGTGCTGATCTTGTTCATTAAGGTCTGTGCCATTC